ATTCAGAATTATTATTTCAAGGAATTTATTATGAGTAGAAAAAATATTGTGCTGGGTTGGCGTTGGTTTCGATGTAATTTGACAAATAAATAAAGCTGTCAGAAGATTATTTTCTTTTATCTATGATAAAGCTGCCTCTTTAGTTGTCAGTTTTGATTTGAGTCAATATTTTTTAATTCTCTTTCGTGTCGATTGCTGATTGAATTGGAGCCAGAAATGGCTCGAAACGAAATAAGTAAATTACCAACAGATATTCAGGCTGAGGCGACAAACGCCATATCCAAACTACTTCCATTTAAATCACGAATAACTTATGAAAAGGAATACAAAAATTTTCAAAAATGGAAGCAATTAAAAAACGTGCGAGAAGAAATAAAGTTTTTGACCTATCCTCGCTGTTAAAGTATCATTTAATCTACCGTTGCGGTTAAAGTACTATTTTATCTACTATTTTTGATAGATATAAGGCAATTTTAACAGTTGCTATGGAAAAAATACTTTTATTTACAACCACTTGGAATACTGACATTACTGACTCATATAGATAGGCAACTTATAATACATTTCGATTTTATTATACAAGGGCGCCTCTGGTAGTCGGAGGAAGAAATACTAAGGGTAGACAGGGATGCGGGGAAGGGGGGTTGTTTTAGTTAATTTCAAATAAATTTAGACATACATGTAAGAACACTTTGTGTGCTTTTAATTAGGTCGAGCATATTATAAACGATAAATCAACTTAATTAAAAGCATACAAAGTGTTCTTATACGTGGATATTAATTTAAAAAAATATTAAAAAGACTAGTAATAGTATATTGCTAATAACAGTTGTTACAGTTATAATTTAATCTTTGGCGGTTTTCAGCAAATAGCAGGCAGTTTTACATAATTTTCCTCCCTTTGAAGTAAATTGGAAACGGCTATATATATAAATAATAAAAACAAATTAAATTAGATTTAATCATCTGCTGATCATGCTAATATAACGCAAGGCGCGTCCTTAATTCCTTACATGCACCGTAAAAAAATTAAATAACTGCTCAGCAAGTAGCATTTATTAGCAGCACTAATTTAAAAAATCTATAACTGTAAGTAGATATATTTAATTTACTTACCATTGTATCCTTCGGAAACCCGGTGCACAACAATTAAACTCCATGATAAAAAATAACTAAAAGTCTATACAAAACACCAATTGTCCCAGCATTTTTAAAAAACTTTGTCTAAAACAGAATACTGCTAAAAAATCTGAAGGAATTTAATTTTACAATAATTCGACAAATCAAAACGAAATCAAACCGTAAAATCACAGCAAAAGCGTCTCTGAGTGTCTCGTGTCAGTTAAAAATCAAATTTTATTATTGTCAGATATTGACTGCATTGTTGATATTGACAGTTTTAATATTTTGCGAAAGGAAACTCCCAGTCATGTTACTGATTTTTAAAAAATTTGAAAGTGTCAAATTATCTACATTTCTTCTCTTATCTATTTCCCTCACCCATTTCCCTCACTCGGTTTTTCTTATTTCTCGCCTCATTTAATTAAGCAAAATATTCTTGTAATATCTTTATTAAATACTTATCTAACATCAACAAAAATAAACAACAAGATTAACAATAATAATTGAAGAATTTAATACTTATTTGTTGAAGGTAAAAATGCTAGACTTCTTTGACTTAAAACCTACATTCTGGCGTTTTAAAGAAGCGACGAGTTTGTGATATTTTGATATGTCAGTCTTTTCTCTTAATTCTAGCATTGTCCGTATCATGCTGTACGTATAGCCCAAAGAGTAGATGGCTTTTTCTGCCTTGCCATGTCGTTAAAATATGCCATCAAGACTGTCTCCGAATCAATATTCTTAGCATTTCTTTCGGCACACCATTTTTCGTATACTTTCAATGCTATTTCATATCGCCCCCTACTTATCTCTGGAAGTAAACTGGCTTCTGCTCTTTTTGCAGCTTCTGTAAGTTCTGGTGGAGTACCAATATTAAAGTAGTCTTCATTATCAGAACTTTCCGACAACATTCTGGCTTTCTATATTATGTAAATTCGAAAATGCGAACGAGAAATTCAAAACTGTCACTTAGTTGTTTGTTTAGCTGTTGAAGGTTTGCGCCATAACAACCACTGGTACCGGTAAGTATAGATATGGAAATGCCAAAACAGAAAACGACAAATTTTGGAATATTTATTTTTTTTTCAAAAAAAAATACTGTCACTATTTTTTAATTAATGATGTGGTTATAAATAAAATAGTATACAAACCTCGGATGAAAGTTTTCATTATTGTCTCGAGATTTAGTTAATTCTCTCGACAGTAATGAAACACTTCCCTCCTCAATATGTAATATATTAATGAACAGGTTATATGAAAAATTCTCTATTAACAATGGCTGTTTTAATACTAACTTAACTGCTACTTCACTAACTCTCTAAGTTAATAAAAGATAATATTCATGTAATTGTTTAATATAATGTGTCACTAGACTGAACAGTAATGTAGAACATGGAGAAATTTATTGCATCAATCGTTTGACCCGATGAACTGTTGGTGCTGTTAAATAATAATTATTTACACACCAACTGACTCTTTCTTCGTACCACAACACACACATACGCGACAGACAATCAATTTCAAGCTTATTATTTATTTCTAGAGCCAATCCTAGAAATATCTATGACTAATGCGAAGCAATGCAAGAAAAGTGTAGTTCAAGGAAATCACTCGACCTATGTGCTACCAAATAACTAGTTATAATAGTGTGAGTTTCTGGGAATATCTTGTTAAAACACTCAACACTTTTATCAGGATTATATTAGGATTTACATTATTTATGGTCTATTACACTGAACCAAAAGTCGACAAAATATAATGAAAAATTTCATTAATATAATGAATTAAATCATTAATTTTGAGCCCATGAACGATTTCATTGGCACAATGAAAAGTAATTCATTAACTCTATGAACTTTAAGTTCATTAAATCAATGAACTGTTCATTAATTTGAAGAACACATTCACTGGTATAATGAAGAGATTTCATTAATATAATGTACCTAAATACTTATATTAATGAACCGTATCATTAATACAATGAAATAATTTAATAACCTGTTTATTTATACATTTAAAAGTCGAAACTACTAGTAACTCTTGTTATACCGTATAATCGATGATGAAGATCGCTGTCATTTTATATGCAAAATTATATGGGAAATGTCATTGATAGTCATTTCCCAGCCCAGTATCTAAAATAACTTAGATAAATAGATTACGTATCATAAACATACTATAAATTATAAAATTATAAATATATTTCCATTTGAACAAGCCCTTAGCTACAAAGGGAACAAAATTACCAATAGTGTCGACTTACTTACGAGCACAGTAAATTTGTCCATTAGGGCAACAAAAAACAAGTCCAATTAATGTGATCCCAGTATTCAAACTACATTAATTGAATATTTACGTTGATTAATAATAAATGCTCCAAATACGAAAAAAAAAACTGAATTTTGTATGTGTATTAGACAGTGTGGTAAAAAGTAAAACTTTATAAATTTTATTTAATTTTTTGACAAATGCTTATTTATAACAACACAGACGTTCATTTCTTATTATTATATTGATTTCTGAGTCAAATCCATATTTATTTAGAATAATTTATTAACTAAAACAATTAAGTATGTAATTAACTAATATATGGTCGGAAATAATGGTTTGGTTTGGTTCTTTTTGTAAACAAATGGGCTTGCGATACTATTATTTTTACCACCTGTACATTTTGTACATATTGTGCTTTAAAAAAATCTAAAATGTCAATATTCCATGGGTAATAGTGATAAATGAAGTCTAAATTATAAGAAAATGCATTTTCTACGAAAACTTGAAGAGATAAGTAAAAAATGGTATAATACATTTTGATAGTCATTTAAATTGTGCATATGATTCTCGTAAAATATACAGGGTGTTATATTTAAATTAAAAAAGTTATTGTTGTTTAAATCTAGTAATTATTTAATATAAATTTTTGGACACTCTGTATAAGGTAGTATAATTTTTATTATTGCAACACAATATCTGATCAATAAATAATCTTCATTAAATATTTAGTATTAAAAACTTTGATACCGTTGGAGAAATGAAGCCTTAAAATTTTTACTGCATTTTCACAAAATTGAAAATATTTCAAAAACGGTAAGGTTTGAGTGTGATAAACCTTAACAAAATTACCTTTATTTCAATCGTAGAATCTAAAAATAGAATTATATACAGGTTGTTCCGTTTAAAAAATAGAACTATAATATTTTTTACTTATTTGGGACACTTTCTGTATCTTGTAAAATTATTTTTAAATTGTAGCTCCAATAGTCCTTCAACGAACCCAAAACTTACAAAAATGTAAAAATCTAATCGCTTAGCTACAATACTCCATGTCATATGTGGTAAACAACCCTGTAAGCCTGTAGAGACCTTACACGTTGACTATAAAGTAAATGTCGACAATGTCAAGAATGTCTCAGACTCAGGTTTGAGGTAAGGTATGTCTTTAGAAGAGTATGATTAACCCTTAACCGGCGTTGCGGAGTCCCTGGGACTCTAGTAAAAATAAATTGTTTCATAACTTTCATAGTTGTCGATTGTCGACCAAGCAACGCGCGTCGTCTAGTAGCTTCCTAGTAACTCCCGTCGGATGTTGAGACGACTTCGATCTGCTATCACGGCAAGTGCATCTAACAAACATCTTAAGGTGTACGCGCACTGAATCGGTACCAGTCCGGCGAAGGCGGTGACTCGACTATCGTAGATAGGTAGAGGTAGGAATCTGGCCTCTACAGGCCGAAATGTTTTAGTGGACGCCGGCGCCGTCTATATGTACGATGGTCGCAGTCGCTTTTGCTGGTCGGTCCGATCCGATGCAGTGCCCGCGGAGCCTTAAGGTACTATGTTAGGATGGTTTGATGAAAGTGAGGAGGAGTTTTCTCACCAAGATGGAGAATCTGAGAGCCATGTTACAACAGAAAATGTTATCACAAGTGATCGACATGGCGAGTAAGATGTCTGCCAATGAATCTGATGATCAAGATGAGATGGAGGTTACTGAAACTTTAGAGGACATGGACACAACTGATCCAACTAAAAAATATTTCTGTTCAATCACATATTCAAGAAAAGTGTGTGTTCAATGCATAGAAAATACCGAAGATTCCTAAATAAAAGCTATAGTTTATTTGTTTTTAAACACTTGTCAATTTTTTGCAATTTTACATTAGGGGCAGTTGTATTCTCTTTTTTTGTAGTTCTCACCTTGGTGATCACGGTTTTCAATGAGTAATAGTAAGTAGTAGTAGTAGCTTTTTAAGTAGTAGCTTTTTTTACTTTATTTTGTAAATAATATGGCTGTAAAAATAAAAATATATTTCCTTGTAAGTGTTTAACGATGTATATAATGAAAAAAAAATATTATGTTATGATAACACTAATACAGTGCACCTGTATATTTTGGACTCCCAGGGACTCCGCAACGCATGAAATGCTAAAATTTCTGACCACGCCTGTTAAGGGTTAATTACTCATTTCTCCGAATATTTTTGGTTATTTGGTTTGACTTGGGTTATCCTGTAGTAAGTTGACGTGGACATCACTCCTGAACAATTGAATTGTCGACGTAGTATTCTCGACATCACCCAACCCTCAATTGAAATGTTTAACAAACTGAACCTATCATATAAAAACCAAGAAGAATTACTGTGCATCTAAATTTATTATATCTTTTTTATAAGCGGTTTATTGTACTTCACAATCATCAGAATGGCCTTTTAATCTTTATTTTCTTAAAGCTAAATTTAATAAACTAAAGATAGAAGTCGGTACATAAAAAACTACTTTATTTCTGCAATAACACTGCATTCGCAGTTGGTACTAATGTTTTGCTATCTAGTAGTGCACTTCAGAACTTTAGAGTTATTCAAATGAAAGAAATAACATAAATTTTATGTGACACTGTAAGTATAAGAAGCGATTCTAGGCACAGAATATAATCTGTATTTATGGCTGTTAAGATTGTAACAATATAATTATTTTAAGTACATCTTTTAGATTACAGATATACATATAATTTTTAATGATTTTTGAATATTTATAATTGTATATTCTTTTTGTCTATAAATGATTAATTCACAAATAAAAAAAGAATATTATCATTGTAAAAATTCGTCTATTTAGTTTTCTAAATTCTAAAATTATGTAAAGTTAACTCAAAATAAGCGTTCGGCATTTAACGTTTTATGTAAAACTGGCTAGGTATTTTTACATAAATGAAGAAGGAAATTAAAGATAAAGGATTATACTATATTCATATTGTAGCACATTTTTAGACAACTTTTTTATTTTAAAGATTTTGATAGTCAAACATCAACAAAATATTCCTTCTATTTGAACTAAATTTTCTCGAAAATAAAGACACATGTTTAAAATTCCGTTACAATAAGGAAATAGATTGAAGTTTTGTTATTACAGTGATATATAATTAATATGGTTTTGTAACAAAGTGCTCGCTATTTTATGATTAATGCTGCAGCTCTGCAAACCTTAATCAAGCCTTAATCAAAGCATATGTGTTTGGATTTTGGGTATGGCTTAACACGACAGGATCGGGCTAAGCCTTAAGCAGATTTTTGAAATATAATATGTATTGCCTTCGACCACACACCCGCTCTACCTAAGAGTGACCCGAATACAGCGTCACAGACTCTTAAGACAAGTTGGAGAATATGAACGGCATTTCCTAAACGGCCCACAGACGATTCAATCTGTTGTACAACAAGTTGGACGATTTTGTTTGATCCAACTGTTTGAACGATAATCGTAACGTCTGTGGGCTTGTCGTCCAACTTGTCGTTAAGACGCGGTTGGACCGTTTGGTAGTTCAGCATGCTTAAAAATCTGTCGTAAAACTTAAGGGTTACCTAAGAGTGACCCGAAAATACAGCGTCACAGACTCTTAAGACAAGTTGGAGAATATGAACAGCATTTCCTAAACGGCCCACAGACGATTCAATCTGTTGTACAATAAGTTGGACGATTTGGTTTGATCCAACTGTTTGAACGATAATCGTAACGTCTGTGGGCTTGTCGTCCAACTTGTCGTCCAACTTGTCGTTAAGACGCGGTTGGATCGTTTGGTAGTTCAGCATGCTTAAAAATCTGTCGTAAAACTTAAGGGTTACCTAAGAGTGACCCGAAAATACAGCGTCACAGACTCTTAAGACAAGTTGGAGAATATGAACAGCATTTCCTAAACGGCCCACAGACGATTCAATCTGTTGTACAACAAGTTGGACGATTTGGTTTGATCCAACTGTTTGAACGATAATCGTAACGTCTGTGGGCTTGTCGTCCAACTTGTCGTTAAGACGCGGTTGGATCGTTTGGTAGTTCAGCATGCTTAAAATCTGTCGTAAAACTTAAGGGTTACCTAAGAGTGACCCGAAAATACAGCGTCACAGACTCTTAAGACAAGTTGGAGAATATGAACAGCATTTCCTAAACGGCCCACAGACGATTCAATCTGTTGTACAACAAGTTGGACGATTTGGTTTGATCCAACTGTTTGAACGATAATCGTAACGTCTGTGGGCTTGTCGTCCAACTTGTCGTTAAGACGCGGTTGGATCGTTTGGTAGTTCAGCATGCTTAAAAATCTGTCGTAAAACTTAAGGGTTACCTAAGAGTGACCCGAAAATACAGCGTCACAGACTCTTAAGACAAGTTGGAGAATATGAACAGCATTTCCTAAACGGCCCACAGACGATTCAATCTGTTGTACAACAAGTTGGACGATTTGGTTTGATCCAACTGTTTGAACGATAATTGTAACGTCTGTGGGCTTGTCGTCCAACTTGTCCTCCAACTTGTCGTTAAGACGCGGTTGGATCGTTTGGTAGTTCAGCATGCTTAAAAATCTGTCGTAAAACTTAAGGGTTACCTAAGAGTGACCCGAAAATACAGCGTCACAGACTCTTAAGACAAGTTGGAGGATATGAACGGCATTTCTTAAACGGCCCACAGACGATCCAATCTGTTGTACAACAAGTTGGACGATTTGGTTTGATCCAACTGTTTGAACGATAATCGTAACGTCTGTGGGCTTGTCGTCCAACTTGTCGTTAAGACGCGGTTGGATCGTTTGGTAGTTCAGCATGCTTAAAAATCTGTCGTAAAACTTGGTTGGATCAACGACAAGTTTGAACGTCTCTGGCTTTTTCACCGACTTGTTGCTACTATGTTAATACAGAAATACATCGTGAAGTGAGATTGTGGTGTTTCATCATGGAGGAAAATAGGCAGTTTTGGACAGAATTTATTGAAATTTATAGAGACCATTCGTGCTTATGGAATGTTAAAAGTGAGGAATATTCCAATAAACACAAACGGAACTCCAGCTACGAAGTGTTGCTGACAAAAATGAACACAAAATTTTGTGGTTTTGACATGGTTTGAAAGACATTTTTGAAAGACATGAAGAAAGAAGTTTTTTTTGTGGCATAGTCAAACATACACTGAGTCACTGAACTAATTATTCATTTAAAACATTTAAATAATCGTACTACAAGTCGCTTTAGAATGTCGTTACGTTTGTGGCTAAAAGTATCTACGGTCTGTCTGAACGATTTTTCGTCCAACCTATCGTACGATTAGTTGTACAACCGATTGTATCGTCTGTGGGCCTCTTTAAGTTATTAGGGTTAATTTCTAATTGTTAATGTCAAGAGTAAGGTAAGGACTAATACTGGAAGTATGAACCAACCATTTTAATTTGTTAGGACACTCTTTATAAATACGAATCTTTTTCTTGTACACCCTGTATATTTCACTAAAATTCTCCTAAAGATTTGTTTACGTTTCGTTCCCTGGTTCTTTTCAAAGAAATAAGAATACAACATAAAGGATTAAGATTAAAAAAGCATCGGTAATCTCCGCATTGTTTGCCTTTCAGCGTCCATAAAAATGTCGGAAACTTTTTTTTTGTTGACATACGTGACTTGTGCTCCAAGTGTAGCGTTTTATTTTATTGTAAAGGATGTAGATCTAGAGTCTGAAATATGGGGAAAAGATTAGTGTTTTCTTGTAAAATTGATTGACTGGTTCCATCTTGACTGCTTTATATACACAAACATATCAGCTCTATGACCGGGTGGACAACTCAAAAGATACAAGGATATTTTCCATGAAAACTTAAGGGGATAAGCATTGCAGAATCAGTGGGAGGAAGCGGCGCACAATGGAGAATAATTATAAACTGAGTTAACAGCGACAACCAAAAAGTAAAGAGGCAACAAAGTAATGAGATTTTTGAATGTCCGGAGTGCGGAAGAGAGATAACATACGTATCGGGCTTTTCAGTCACAGAAAAGCTCATGAAAGAAAACGCCTTGCGCCTTGCACCTTGCTCTTCTGATGCGTGTCAAATACTCGTCAGCGAGTAATGGCACTAAAGTAAAGTAAGTACCGAGTTAGCGAGTGTCTAAAGGCTCATTTACATTTGTCTTTTAATGGTTATATTGAGGGAATTTTTGTTTCGTTTTTTATTTCAAAGTTGCTAGATAAAGAACGAAGCGACAACATAAAGCAAACATGCAAGGTGGATAGCTTTAATTAATGGGTATTGATCAGAAGACGCGAATGGAATGAACATATAAGCCGATTGGACGAGGTAAGCATAGTAAGGAAGAACTGCTCGAGACAAATCACCACTGGGAAGAAGAAGCACGGGAAGGCTAAGAAAAAGATGGCGTGATAACCTTACCATCGATTGAAACTGTAGGCATGATGTGAAGAATCAACCAACTAATATAGAGTAGGAAGAAGAAGAAAAAGAGACTAATGATAAAGGATGAAACAGTTTAACCCCCGACCAGCTTTTGATCCCATCCATACACTATTGCGTTAGAATAATACCACAGGTGTTTTTTAAATGTTCATCTGTCCATAATGATGTTCCTTAATGACATGCTAATATTTAAGGGGGTGATTCTTGGTCCTATTCTAAGAGAAAATCTTCATATGAATGTATGTCCTAAACATCTTAATTTCTGAGATACAAGGTGGTAAACTTTTCTAAAAAAAATATTTTTTTCACAATAACACTGATTTTATTATAGATATCTTTATT